ATCCCCATATGAATTGCTTTGTGCTAAACCACCTGACATTAGTCACTTAAAAGTCATTGGATGTTTGTGTTTTGCCACAAACACAAAACCACATAAAACCAAATTTGAATCAAGGGCCACTCTTGCTGTTTTGCTAGGTTATGCAGCTATTCAGAAAGCACATAGACTGTATGACTTGAATACCAAAGGTATATTTCATTTTAGAGATGTTATTTTTCATGAATCTAAATTTCCTTTTCATGATCCTAAACCAACTGAATCATTATAATTTTCCATACCTGAATGTATTGATCTTATTTCTGATTCTAATAATGTGATTACTCAACCTATCTCTCCTACACCTATTGTTGTCCCTGATGCAATCACAAATAATAACATTCCTTCCCCTTCACCCATTTCTCATTTACCCATATCAAACATCCCAAATCATCTACTTGCACTTGTTACTTCTTCTCAACCAGCCTTGAGAAATAGTAGGCCTGTCTCTAAACCAGCCCGATTATAGGACTTGCTACCAACGGTTCATCATATTTCTTGCAATGATTCACTTACTTCTGCATATGATACAGGTATATTTTCTAAACCACCCATTTCCACCTTAAATTCATGCATTTTAGTACTGCTTACCTCACTTTTCAACATAATATTTCCAAAATTCATGAACCTAAGTCCTATAGTCAGGCTAAAGATGATGTGAATTGGGTAAATGCTATGCAGAAGGAGTAAGAGGCATTAGAAAGCAACAATACATAGGAACTTATTGATTTTCCTAAAGGAAAGAAACCAATTGGCTCTAAATGGGTTTATAGGGTGAAGTATAATTCTGATGGAACCATAGATATATACAAGGCTAGACCAGCAGTGAAGGGTTATAGTCAGCTATTTGGATTAGATTATCATGAAATATTTTCCTGCGTTGCCAAACTTGTCACTATCATAGTATTTTTAGCTATTATAGCCGCAGGGGTTGGCCTTTACATCAAATAGACATCAATAATGCTTACCTTCATGGCTCTATTGATGAAGAATTATATATGACCCCTCCTGAAGGTTACATAAAAACTGTTAATGGCCAAGTTTACAAGCTTAGAAAGTCTTTATATGGCCTGAAACAAGCAGGCCGACAACGGAATAGAGAATTTACTAAAAAATTACAATAGTTTGGATTCCATCAATCTATCAATGATCATTGTTTCTTTTATAAGGGATCTAGTGATTATTTTTTAGCACTTTTAGTGTATGTTGATGATGTCCTCATAACTGGTGTTACTGAAAGTCACATCTTGGAAGTGAAAAAGTTTCTTTATGCACAATTTATAATCAAGGATTTAGGTTATGATAAATTTTTCCTTAGGATTGAGATAGCAAGATCTACTGCTGGTATGTATCTTAGTTAAAGGAAGTATATCCTTGACATTATTTGTGATGCTTGTTTGCAACAGACTTCTCCTCCCACAACACCAATGCTTAAAGGCACTCATTAGTCTCATGATAGTAGTCCCTTATTACGAGACCCAGATTTATATAGAAGATTTGTAGGCAGGCTCTTGTACCTCACTTTGACAAGACTTGATATTATCTACAATGTTCAACAACTTACTCAACACATGCAAGCCCCTTGCCATCATCACTTGAAGGCTACATTGCATGTTTTAAGGTACTTAAAAGGCTGTTCTTCTAAAGGAGTTTTCTTCTTAGCGACTACTGATTGTCAGGTCAAAGCTTTCTGTGATGCTGATTGGGCAGCTTGCCCAACCACTAGGAGATCCTTGACTGGTTACTGTGTTTTCTTAGGATCTTCCCTAATTTCTTGGAAATCTAAGAAGCAATCCATTGTCAGTAGATTCACAACAAAGGCAGAGTATAAGGCTATGGCAACTACTGTTTTTGTGAACTTCAATGGACTATTTATTTGCTTCTGGATTTTCAAATTTTAGTACACCTTCCTATCCCTTTGTATTGTGACAATCAAGTTGCCCTCCACATAGTAGCAAATCCCGTTTATCATGAGAGAACTAAGCACATTGAAATTGATTGTCACATTGTGAGGGACAAACTTAATACTAGCTTCATTACACAAGCACATGTCAGCTCCAACAGCTACCTATTTACAAAGCCATTACCTTCTTCTGCGTTTTAGTTTTTATTGTCCAAGATGGGCTTAGTGTTTCATGCTGCTCCATCTTTAGGGGGGCTGATAGCATACTTAGCTTATTTGTAAATATAAATTATTAAATCTCCTTATTAATAGCTAGTTAGTTAGGATACGGATATGGACGAAACAAAACAAATATGTTGAGGACGTGGATTCATTGTGTATATATACATTTACTTTATTCAATAAAGTTATAGGGGAATATATTCTTTCATTCTTGAAGTTTCCAATTAACGTTTTCTTCCTCTTTTTCTCAAGATTGAGTCGCTCAACCGGATAGCTTAAATTGAATGGACGCCTTTGAACACTAGGAAGGGATAAGCAATGAAACTTGACCAGCAACTGTCAATAATCCAAATGAATGCGAGCAAGATGCTAAATAGTTGTTTCAGAAAATTTTAAAGTACAAGCACTGTTGAAAGAGCAAGATCTAGGTGCTCATACAAATTGCCTCGTTGCCAAGTAAATTTGGGTCCCTTAAAACCAAGATCAGCAAGATGAGAATTCTGGATGAAGGAAATAAATTTTGAAACCCCATTATGAAATCGAACCACCCATCTTTTCATCTAGGTTCACATACAGGAGAGCATTAAAATCACCAGCTAGAAGCCATGAGTCTAAATACTGCTAGATAATTCTTGTAACCTATTATATAAAACATGACATACGTTAGCCACTAGACTCTCATAAATAGTGGTAAACTTCAGGGTGAAAGCATTACCAACATAAATTAGATATCGAACAAATTGTCAATAATCTTCCCAAATAGAAACATGCCAAACATCCTTCCACATTAGCCAAATACCACCTAAAAAACCCACAAGGTCCACTCAATGAGAAAAGGGAAGCCCATTTTTTTAATAATTTCATATTCTTATTACCCACTTTTGCGAGTTTCTAAAAGAATTAACATATTAAGAGAGTAGTCTCACATACCAAGAGCTAGGTTGTATGGACATGGGACACGAGATAGAGAAATGTATGATAAACGATAATTTTTTTTTAAAAAAAAGGACATCCAACGCTTAGGACACAACACACTAAATAAGTAATATATTAATATTTCAAACAAATAAACAATGATTTAATATAAATCATAAACATAAAATAAAAAAACTAAATTTCTTATTTCAAGGACACAAAAATAAATAAAAAAACACTTCATTTTTATTGGTATAAAAAAAAAACCTTGGTTGATTAGCTTGGTATATTGAGTAGTCTCATATACCAGGAGTTAGATTGCATGGACACAGGACACGAGATATAGAAACGTATGAAATACAACAATTTTTAAAAAAGATAGGACATTCACACGCTTAGGACACAATACACTAAGTAAGTAATATATTAATATTTTAAATAAATAAACAATCATTTATGATAAATCATAAACATAAAACAAAAATACGTAATTTCTTAATTCAACGACACAAAAATAAATTTTAAAAAAAAACATTTCATCTTTTATTCGTAATAAAAAAATCTTTGTTGATTAACTTGTTGTACGGAGTAGTCTCATATATCAGAAGTTAGGTTGAACGGACACAAGGCACAAGATATGGAAACGTATGAGATACAATAATTTTGAAAAAAAGCAGAACATACACACTCTTAGACCACACTACACTAAATAAGTAATATATTAATATTTTAAATAAATAAACAATCATTTATAATAAATCATGAAGAGAAAATATACTTGATTTCTTATTTCAATGAAATAAAAATAAATTTTAAAAAAAAACTTCATTTTTTGTTGGTAGTAAGAAAACACCTTGGTTGATTAACTTAGTGTATGGAGCAGTCTTATATACCAAGAGTTAGGTTGCACGGACACGGGATACAAGATATGGAAATATACAGGATATAATAATTTTTCGAATAGGTAGAACATCCACACGCTTAAAATACACTACACTAAATAAATAATACATTGATACTTGAAAAATATAAACAATCATTTATAATAAATAATAAACACAAAATAAAAAAAAAAGACTTAATTTCTTATTTCAATGACACAAAAACAAATTAAAAAACAAACACTTCATTTTTTATTGGTAATTAAAAGAAACATTTGTTGATTTGCTTAGTGTATAAAGTAGTCTCATATATTAAGAATTAGTTTGCATGGACACGGTACATGAGATAAAGGAATGAACAAGATACAAAAATTTTTAAAAAAGTAGGAAATTGATATGCTTAGTGCACATTATACTAAATAAGTAATACATTAATATTTTAAATAAATAAATAATCAATTATAATAAATCATAAACATAAAAAGTAGGCGCGGCGGGGGAAAACGGCAAATTGATATTGCTTAGTGCACATTATTACTAAAATAAGTAATACATTAATATTTTAAAATAAATAAAAATCAATTATAATAAATCATAAACATAAATTAAAAAAAATACTTTACTTTTTTTATTTATTAATATAATTACGTCTAAATTTCTCAAAAATATTATCACCTTAAATTCTCAAAATTATTATCACCATTGAAAAATACATCAATAGTATGTATGCATTTTTTTATGTAGGTCATACCATATATGATTTTTGCTATTACATATCTTATGAAAGGCTTCGCATGATATTTAAGAAAACAAATCTTAGCATTGTAACTTTTCATCGTAATTCAATGAGATATAATTTATCATTTAATAAAATATTACTATTTTTAAATGATCTTATAAAAACTTATCTCATCGTTTAATATTGCTTTGCGCATCGGGCGGTTCTAACACGGGCATTGTAAATACATTGACCAATTAGTTAATTTAACAGAAAATCAAGGGATGAAATAGTAAGTATCCTTATTACTTATAACATTTTTCAGAAAACAAATGTAGCAAAAATGAAAGTTCAAAATTCAGTTGTTTCTTATGCGACGCATTTCCTTGCTGTGTTCTTCCTCTATGTAGATGTTTAATCTAAGGTGCACCCATTCTGCTTCTGCTGTTTCTGTCCTTCACTGTGTCATTTTCTGCTGTGGTTTCTATTTTTCAGGCAGCCCGCTTTACTTTTTTTTTTTTTTTATTTCTAAAGTTCAAAATTTCCATGAAAAGAACGCTTACATCGATTGGCGAACAAGGTTGTCATGTCTTCAACCAAAATCTCAAAATTACCCAATTGGGGAAATCCGGTCGAATCGAAGATGCCATCAAAATTTTCTCGCGAATGTCCCAAAAAAATACCGTAACTTACAATTCTATGATCTCTGCATACGCCAAAAATGGCCGAATTAAATGTGCACGGGCTCTATTTGAAAAAATGCCTCGTAAGAACTTGGTATCTTGGAACACCATGATTGCCGGTTACTTACACAATGACAAGTTTGATGAAGCATACCAATTGTTCGTCGAAATGCCCGAGAGAGACCTCTTTTCATGGACTTTGATGATTACTTGCTACACCCGTAATGGGAAGCTTGAAAAGTCTAGAGAACTATTGGATTCACTTCCTTGCAATTATAAGAAAAACACAGCTTGTTGGAATGCTGTTATTGCAGGTTATTCCAAGGAAGGGAAATATGATGAGGCCAAGAGGTTGTTTGATGAAATGCCGGTTAAGGATTCAGTTTCTTGGAATTCAATGCTAGCGGGATATACCCAAAATAGAGAAATGCGTTTAGGGTTGCAGTTTTTTCGAGAAATGGATCACCGTACTGTAGTTTCCTGGAATTTGATGGTGGATGGACTTATTAAAGTAGGTGACTTGGATTCTGCCTGGAAGTTTTTTAAAAAAATTCCAGAGCCAAACATTGTTTCTTGGGTTACAATGTTGTGTGGATTTGCGAGAAATGGAAAGATTTTTGAGGCTAGGAGACTCTTTGACCAAATGCCAAGCCGAAATGTGGTTTCTTGGAATGCTATGATTTCAGCTTATGTTCAGAACTCTCAAATTGATGAAGCTAATAAGCTTTTTGAAGAGATGCCACAGAGGGATTCCGTGTCATGGACTGCAATGATTAATGGGTATGTTCGTGCTGGTCAACTTGACCATGCAAGAGAGTTACTTGATAAAATGCCCTACAAGAACATTCCTGCTCAAACTGCAATGATATCTGGTTATGTGCAATATAATAAAATGGATGAAGCTAGACAAATCTTCAATGAGACAGACACCCATGACGTGGTTTGTTGGAACACCATGATTGCAGGATATACACAGTACGGGAGAATGGATGAAGCTATCCTTCTATTCAAACAAATGGCCAATAAGGACATAGTTTCATGGAATACTATGATTGTTGCTTATGCTCGAGTGGGAAAGATGGACGATGCTCTAAAGATCTTTAAAGAAATGGGGGAGAGGAATATAGTTTCTTGGAATTCTTTAATTTCTGGTTTCATGTTAAATGGGTTGTATTTGGATGCACTAAGGTTTTTTGTGTTGATGCAGCATGAAGGAAAGAAACCTGATCAATCAACTTTTGCTTGTGGACTAAGTTCATGTGCTGTTGTTGCAGCCTTGCAAGTGGGCAGACAACTTCACCATCTTGTTATCAAGAGTGGGTATGTGAATGATTTGTTTGTATGCAATGCTTTGATTACCATGTATTCTAAATGTGGAAGAATCTCTGATAGTGAGCTTGTGTTCAAAGGAATTGATCATGCTGATACGGTTTCCTGGAATTCTATGATTATTGGGTATGCATTAAATGGATATGGACGAGAGGCTCTTAAACTCTTTCAGGAGATGGCATTAAAGGGGATAGTCCCTGATCAAGTCACTTTCGTTGGTCTTTTATCTTCATGCAGTCATGCTGGCCTCATTGATCAGGGTGTAGAATTGTTTCGAAGCATGACTGAGATGTATGCAATAGAGTCATCCGCTGAGCACTACGCTTGCCTTGTTGACTTGCTTGGGCGGTTGGGGAGGTTAGATGAGGCTTTTGAAATAGTTAGGGGAATGGAAATCAAGGCCAATGCTGGTGTGTGGGGTGCACTGCTTGCGGCTTGCCGGATGCATAGGAATTTAGAACTTGGAAAATTAGCTGCCCAGAAGCTTTTGGAATTTGAACCTGATAAGACATCAAATTATGTGCTCTTATCCAACATGCATGCTGAGGCAGGTAGATGGAGTGAGGTAAAGGAAGTGAGGATGTCCATGAAGGATGTTAGAAATGGGAAGCAACCGGGCTGCAGCTGGATTGAATTTAGAAATCAGGTAAGTACTTTTCTCTCTTATGATTTTACTTGCCTTAGAGCTGCAGAGATTCATGGTACTCTACAAACCTTAACTGCTCAGATGAGACACACAGTTCACATGTCTGAACTCTGCACTTGACAATTATGATTATGCTTTTTTTTATCACAAAGAAATGGGAAGGCTAACCGCATTAGTTATTTTACCTGTTGTATGCTATTGGCATATTGTACATTAAGAAACATAGGCTTCTTAGAGAATTCATTTGAGAGTGTATATAATTATATGTCTTGTGCTCATTTTGCATTTCAACGCTGTTATTTCTCTGGTTTTATTAAGTTTGTAGCTAGGATCTGCTCAATTTGTATCCATATGATACAATTGAATACAACTTCGACTTTTGTTGACAGTTTCAGATATAATAAGCAGCTAAAAAGTTCCAAAATATCTGTTCCTGCAATAAACTATCAAAACTATTTCTTTACATTATTCAAATGTGCTAATAACGTTTCAAACTACGAAAGAACGAATCCATAAAACTTGGGATCCGACACCATGATAAAATACTACCCTCATGATTAGACCATGTCCCTGAGATTTGATAAAAGAAAGGTGCATTAGCGGTTAATACGTTTGAATCTAATCTTCCAGGTTGAAACAAAAGTTGAACGTAAAGGTTAATAACCACTAAGATTTATGGTATTATTAGCTGTGACCATAACCATTTATATGTGACTTCTGCCATCGCCATGCAATCTTTAAACTCTCTTGAAGGTCTGAGTATTGAGCTGTCCAATTTAGCTCACGTCTGATCTTAGAAGGATCACTGTAAACTTCTGCATAGTCCCCTGGCCGGCGGCGTAGGTATTCTATATTTATATCCACGCCAGTTGCCTTCTTGCATGCTTCCACAAACTCCTTTACTGATCTACCTGCATGTAAAAGAAAACAAACAATATTCAGAAGAATAACAAATTAAAAAAAAAAAAAAACATTCTTGTCGCCAATGCGCAAACATATTATCATTGAAAGAAATCAGATCCCACCCAACTAGGAGTTAATCTAGAATCAGTTAGATTTAGTCGTATGAATAATTTTTTTTCTAATACATATAGCATTGCTTGAGTTGCTATTGATAAAAACACTTTTTGTTGAAAATATTGAGAATTAATCTTTTTTAAGGTGAACTTTACGTATTCTAGTTACAAAATGACACTCTAAAATTACTTCAAAACTGCTAAATAACACTCCAAAATTACTTTTCCCAATGGCATCTAGAACGGTACTGTCCTGAAATAGTATTTTCGACCTCAGTATCATACAAACTCTTAAAGCTATATTTTCAAAGAGATAGAGAGAGGAAAGAAAAGAATAAAAGATCAGATATTGAATAAGAAAAAAGAAATTCTATTGCCTTTTCCTGTTCCAACATTGTAGATGCCAACTTTCCCTGGTTTTGCATGGCCAAGAGCTTTCACATGAGCATCAACTAGGTCTGTGACATCAATATAGTCCCGTACACAAGTGCCGTCAGCTGTTTTGTAGTCTGTTCCTCTAACCTATAACCATAGGCATGCCTTCAGTTTTCAGATTTATTAATTAAAATAAAAATAACAATCCCCAAAACTATGGAGTAGTGCTTGATTTTGTTTTTGAAGTTACCTTGAGTCCCGGTATAATACCTCTAGCTGCATCAAAACAAGCACCAGATATCCGACCATGCTCGCGTAGTTCAGGTCTTGGAGCTTCACCTAAATGTCCTTCTGGATCTGATCCAATTACATTAAAATACCTGATAAACAGAAGTAGACAAAGTCAGTTTCCAACTATCTATTCATCTATCTAGGAAACAGAGTATCCTTCTCTCTTTTATCTGGCCTAATGTCGCAACTCTAGAAGAACGAGTTAGAAAAAAACAAGTGAAAACCGCTTTTTGTGTTTTTCACATGTTGTGGCAATCTGTTTTACTTGTTTAAGTTATTAAATAACAAAGATAAATATGTTTTGATACTATACTACTCTTTGACTATTGGAATTTAGAAAACAAAAACCAAAAAACACAAAATAACAATCATGTCAAACAGTCTCTTAGCTTTTACACTACACAAGTCCTTGATAGAAGTAAAACACAACGCAGAGTTGAATTCAGAACATCACTCACCTTAGAATCATGACAGCCATGTCATTAGTTTTAGAAAAGTCAATAATAATATCTTCTGCCATCTTCTTTGCTTTGCCGTATGGGTTGATTGGAGCCTGAAATGATACACTCATGGAAATGAGTCAAGGAAACAGCTGCACGCTGACATATAACTAAATATATTTTGTTACAAATACTTTCCAATTCCACAAATTTAGAATCTGTAAACAAGTGAGATTATAGAAATTTATGGAATTTCTAATTCCCCAGCTCTTGAAATTTGCAGCCCAAACATGGCCTGAGCTCATAAGAGGCATAAGGGCATTACAAGAGAAAAACACTAGAATTTCTGGGAAATAACAAACAGCGAAAAGGCTATTAGGCAGACAAAGAATAGCGGCAGATTTAGACGTCAATTAAACAGACTGCAGGCTTTGTTAGTTGAATATACACACTATACACACACTTAGTTTACTTGGTAAATCATGAAAACGGGGCATAAACCAAATTATTCATAAATTTCAAAAGCACATTTATTCTGAAAAGAAGCACTGAACCATCTCAGAAAATGAAAATATAATAATAGGAAAACGAAGAATTAAACAATGATGAATGAGTTCATCGAACTACTTACTTGAAGAGTTTCTTCTGTAATTGGCATTTTTTCCGGTTCTCCGTATGTTGCGCAAGTGCTAGAATAAATCAATGTCTTCACATTGTGTGCAGCCATTGCTTCTAAAACTACTAATGTATTTGATGTAATATTATGATAGTATCTGCAGTGTCATAAACATGCAGTTGTACTGTCAGATAAAGATTGCTATATCAATTGCCATTGTTCATAAATTATGGCTATAAATATTGGATGATTTTATATTTGCAAGTGATTCTATACTGTTATGTGCATGCTCAGAATGGTCTTGAAAGGGACTGAAACATAGTTAGAAAATGAAAAGAAGAAAGAGTACCTAAGAGGTTGAAGGGTACTTTCACCAACATAAGCAACAGCAGCAAAATGCATTACAGCATCAAATGCATTTTCAGCAAAGATTTTGTTTACCTAAAGACTTTCATTAAGGAGAAAAAATAAAAAATCATCCAAGAGTAGGCTTATTTAATTCAAAACAACAACAAAAATGATAAAAAATATGGATTACTATGATAAGGATACAGATTTTGCATCTCCAAGGTCAGCAAATATGAATTGCAGTCGCCCAGGCTCTGGAAACAGCTTCTGCAAAACTTTAACTGCACCGAGATTCCCACGAGATAGATTGTCCTGCCAAACAAGGCCGGAGAAGTTCTAAGGCTACGTTAAGTAAGGGATAATGGAATGTATTATAATGTAATCAAACAATTCTATTAATTCCATTCAATTACCACTATTGTTACTCGGTATGAATCCTTCAGTAGACGAAGAACCGCATGAGAACCAATATATCCTGCACCTCCAGTGACTAAGACATGCATTACTCCTAACTCGCGACGGTAGAACTAAATTAAAAAAACCAAATGAGGCAAGTTAAAGGAGAGATCAACTGATGATTAAGAAAACTGGAAATAATACATACGCCAAAAACAAACAAAAAGAAAATGAACTAATTTTATACCAGGTTGGGGCTGCTAAATTTAGGTGACTGCATAAATATGATAATGCATATCAAGATGGCAACTGCAGCAGGAATTATTTTTCCAGAAATATAGCTATTTCTTCTTGAATCCAGATAATCCATACCTTACTGAAGAATCGACAATGAATTTATCAAAATTAATTGATTTATATCATATAAAATATAAAACTGACCTTCAAAATATCAAAAATTGATTTATATCATGAAAACCATGAAGACCTGAGTAAAAGTTCAACGCAAGAGCAGCATTCATCAGTATATAAACCTCTTCTTCTTTGTGGCAGAAGATAATCTGACCAAATAATAATTAAGACAAAAGACAAATAGAGAAGTTAATTATATTAATTCAAGCTCGACATATCCAAAGCAAAAGAAACTAAATTGAAAAGCAAAAGAAAAACCGACCCAAATGATCAAACTGAATTGGGAATTTGTTAGAAATGGATAAAAGAAAGAGAGCAATAGATATGGGTCTATAAATATTTATCTGATTAAACTCAATTAATATACTAATTAGCATTTGAAAGTCAACGGACAAACTTAGTTTTGAATAAATGAAAGTTAAAGGTTTCAATATGATATATAATACTAAAAAGAAAGGATTGGTGAGCATATACGTAATCTCTGCGTTGAAAATGGATACTTGAATAGAAAATGGAGTGGACAAAGTAAGAAGGAAGCTGAGACAGAGAGAGAAAGAATTCGTTTAAGGCTGATTTTAATTGAGAGGGAAACAGAATGGAATTGTTCATTTGGTGCCACAAGCTCTCCATTTTCATAGGGCTGAGCAGAGGGCACACTATGGTCAAACCCAACCTAATTGATTCAATGTTTATAAAAAAAAATGGACCTACTTAAAAATTTTAATAACCAAACTGATTTAATCCAAAATTGAAATTAAAATCGAAAATTTTAATTCGATTGTGTAAATAGTTCGGTTTTAATTTCTTTTTTTTTTAATTCGAGTTTATTTGAAATAAATTGATCAAGTGCTCACCCTTGCATATTTTCGGTTCTTAGATAAATATTTTTTTAATTGTTTATGGGTAAATAATCATTTAATTCCAGAAATTTTGTCATAATTACAACTTAATCTCTTCTCTTTCATAAATATACAATGTTTCTCAGATTTAATCTTGTTCAACTATTTAGTTTTTTAATCCAAAAAAAAAAGTAATTTTTATCTAAGATAGTTTGGCCTAGGAGATCTAATTCAATTAAGTGCACAAGAGCTGCTGGTGATGTAGAATTAAGCAGTGGATTCAGAATCTTGGAAGGTTTTAAATACGATCATTATTAATAAAAAAAAAAAAAATTAGTATCTTATTTAGCTGTTAGACGGAAATAAGGGATATCCTTAGTTGTAAAAGAAATGTGGCTAAAAGAACGAAAGAGTGTTTTTCAAATAAAAATGCACTTTTTATATAAAAAGACTAAATAATTTAATAGGATTAAAATCTAAAGACTAATTAATATATTTACTAAATAAAAGAGATAAAATTATAATTATAATCAAATTCAAAGGACTAAATAATTATTTACGTATTATTTATTTATACAACTACACTTAGCTAGGCATGCATTAGGCATTTTGGCCTCTCCAAACAGTCCACGTTTAAGAGTTGTAAATGCAAGGTCATTAATGTTGCTTTTCAACTTCCACTAAAGTTTTCCATTTTCTTAAGAAAAAGAACGCAAATGAAATGAAAAAAAAAAAATGTATTACTTCTTTTGCTTCATTTATTTGGACAAAATTAGTATTGCAACAGAATTAAGAAAAAAGGATTTTTTTTTTTTTTTAATTTGCCCTCAATATGGCATTGATTGCACCATTTTTTTTTGTTGAATACATAATTTAACCTCTAAAATTTAATAAAAGAATCTTATAGCACCCTAAATTTTAAAATCGACGTTGTTGCACCCTCAACTTCTTTTTTATAATAATCTCACACCTCATCATGCTAGAAACAATAAATTTTTAAGGTTTTTGACTTTCATATATAAAATATTGATTTGATATGTGGTTAATACAACTTTGAAAATAATAATTTTCACTTTTTTCAATGATTCAATAAGTGTCTAATCGATCTAATTTTATAAGTTGAAGTGTTCAATAGGTTAATTACAGTATTCAATAGAAGCAATTTTATAAGTTCAAAGTTAAAGTTAAGGGAGCCAAAAGATTTTTCGTAGAAAGTAGTATAAGGGTGAATTTATATATTGAGTCCATTTTTCTCTTAAAATCAAATATCATGTTCTTTTTATCCAATAAAGTCATTTAATGACTTGAAGACAAGAATAACATAGAGTTAAAAAATTTTAAAATAAGCAACACTACACTTTTCGTGACTAATTTTAGCGACCGACGTGAATCTGTTGCTAATTAGCGACATTTTGCCAACCGCATCTACGACAAATAGCGACCAAATTAGCGACCGATATAGCGATCAAAGTTACATCTGTCGCTATTTCTTAGTCAAGTAAATGATTTAATGGTTTTCTTTCTATTTTTGGGTTCTGATTTCTCTTTTAGCATCTCCATGACGTTCATGCTCCAATTCTTCTTTTATTTGTCTTTTTGGTTTTGATTCTTAATTTTCCATTTATGTAGAGGTTGGGAACCCTCTACCAAAGATAAAAGCTAAAGCTTGAAGAGCTTTAATCTAAGCTTATTAAACTTTATTTTTAAGGTTAGTGTTCATAAATACACTTTTCCACTTTCAATTTTTGAATTTTGAGAATTTATGCTATTATGTGAAAATTGAGAATTTTGTACGAAATGTTTAAATTGTTGAACTTTGATTGAATAAATATGCTCTTGAAATATGCTCTTGGGTTAATATCTAAGCATGACTATATGTTTGATGAAGAGGAAAAACATTTCCTCCTTCTCCATCCAAGAAGAGGCTGAAACCTACCTTAAGGAATAAAAGAGGCATTAAGTTTTTTTTTTTTTTTTTTTTTTTTCTTTTTGCTTGTTTAATGCTCTTAAAATGATGCCATTGATTTGCTTGTTTATGCTCTTAAAATGATGCTTGATGAGTATTTGGCATGTGGTAGAAATTTCTACCTTGTATCTTTTGTCTTTCATAATTTTTCTATGACCAAAGTAAACTAAAATTTGGGGATTTGGCATGTTAAGGTCTAATGAGGTGAAATGATGTTATGAATGTGCTACTAAGACTAAATGCATGATGTGAAAATGGTTAGAGAGTTGATTTGCCTAAGTAAATCAAATATGAGACTTTTTCCTACTTATGCCATAACATAGGAAAAGTTGTCTCTTTGGACAATAACATTCTTCCAAATGATAATATGCTTTAGTTATATGATAAACAATATGTGTGTGAAGCATAGATGAAATGCCCTCATTTCCTCTGCCTTGAATTATGAAAATATTGAGAATTTGCATCAAAGTGTGCATGTTTGACCTATGGATATGCTCACATGTATCTAAAGGATGCTTTAAATGGAAGGAAATCTTTTTGATTTGGATGCTTTAAATGGAATCTTTTGATTGATATATGTTTTAAATGATATAAGTGATTTTTATGATAAGAATTTTCTATGTTAAGTAATTATGCTTAAGTATATAATTTTCATGAATTACTTGAATTCTAAACTAAGCGTACATTATGATTTCAAGAAGACTAAAGAAAAATAATTTTTATGAGCAGTATTATGAATTAAGATATAAAGCTATGTTTTTGGGCTCTAATATACTTGGTGTGAATTTGATGTGTGATTTGATTTATTATGTAAGCTGAGCATGCTCGGCATTTGATGCCATTATGAAATGAAGCTATGATCATATGCTAGGCAAATGGATGCCTTATATTAGAGCGGACACACTCCATATGTTATGATAGGCTATTGAAGGCCATATGATTATGTTGGCATATAAGGCCATTATAAATAAGTTATAAAATCTTATCCGCTCCATTTTCTCCTAAGTGTATAAGAGCCCCATAAGAAAAATATTTTCAAGGAAATTAAATTTAATTAATAAGATTATGTTATATATTTATCTTAGTTTATCATATAATCTTTGTTTTTGGAAAATGTGTGACTATGTTATTAATTAAATCTTTAAAGCATTTTAATGGGAATTTGGAGTTAAAATGAAAAGCATGCTTAAGGGTGAAATAAACATCAAGGGTAATGAATATATGATGTGATATAATGATAATTATAATTGCTAATGATTTGTAAGTAAAATATGAAATTATGTGCTATGAATGTGAATGTGCTATGAATGTGAAATCATGCTTTATTATGAAATTATGTGCTATGAATGTGAAATCATGCTTTATTATTTAAATTTTTTTTATATAAAATGAAATTCTTTTAAAATTTATGTTTTAAGTATATTGCCATCGCAACATTGGTAAGTATGTGATTTATAAGCACAATTGAGTTTTATACTCAGCGCGTTGATTTTTATCACGTGTAGGTTAAAGACCATGGTTAGTGCTCGAAGACCATATGAGTAGCAAAAGAGATCATTTTGGTAGTAGTAGAATTAGTTTTATGTAATTAAGAATTATAGCATGTATAATTATTATCTATTTAGAGATTAAGTTATTCGGATTATATCATTGAAGCATGTTATTATAAATTATTATGGTATATGTATTTGGAGTTAAGCATGTGACTTATTTAATATTTGGATATAGAATATTTTCTAAGTTAGTTTGGCATGGTTGGATTTAGACATGGCCACCGGTTTGCTTCTAACCGAAATCAAACCATACTGTAGACGAACCAAAATCGGCGGTTTAAAATTTAATCCGGAACTGACGGTTCAAAATTTTAAATCAAAACCGGCGGTTCGAGGGCCGGTTAAGATTCATGTGAATGTTAAGATATGAACTTGAACCGGCGGTTCTAGTCCGGTTCGAACCGAATGCACAAACAAAATTGTAGCTTAAAATTTTTTATAAAAAAATTTATATCACTTGATTTGATTATAGTTAATGTGATTTATGGTGAAGAAAAGTACACAATGATACATAATTTATAAAAGTGGTGAAAAAAAATATACACATGATTTGACTCAATTTGTACAAAAAATGGTACATGAATATATGCATGACCGGTTCATTAAATCGCCGATTCCGGTTCACGGAAATGACGTTTCAAAAGTTTTAAAATGTTGAACCTAAACTGGCCTTTGAACCACTGGTTCCGGTGCGGTTCAGATCACGGTTTCCGGTGATATATGTTTTTTTTAATAAAAAAATCGGTTCTAACATTACATTTTTCTTTTGAAAATATTAATATGAGTTTATTTTTCTTTTTTGAAAATATTAATCATGAGTTTTAAAAATATTGGTAAATTCTTATTTTTAAATAATTTTTAGAATGCTCTACTTCAGCTATTAAGAATAAAATTAATTTAAATTACAAATAATCAAATAAATTATCACTTTATTTTGTTAAATGTTATTAATTAAATAAATTATAAGAAAAATTTTGAAAAATTGCTTTCAAAATGATTGTAATTTCAAAACTTAGTAAACAATTTAAAAGGGGTAAAAAAAAGTTAAAGACAATATTAAGTTTAAACTAAATATTCATTTCTCTTTTTTTACCATTTTAGTTTTTAGATTTTAACTTTCAAGTAAAGGGTATTTTAAAAAAAAAGAAAAAAACTAAATTAAAGCATATAATGCTATTATATATTAGACTTTTAGAGATGTATAAAATAGGCTAAGAGATTAATCATTTTG